TTCCTGCATAATATGTTTTGTTTATTATTATTATTATTATTATTATTATTATTATTATTATTATTATTATTATTATTATTATTACCACCATAACTACTATGGCACCTACATATGTACGTTGGTGTGTTTTCCATATGAAATTCTATGATGCTAAAACTGACACGAGTTGCTGCGTTTATCTAAGGTATCATGATTCATAGCTATAAAAATTCTATGAAAAAAAAAAATATATTCAATTCAAAATATGTTAAGCCATCTCCGGTTATTGTCTCTACTTTAGTATAGAGTTTACTCTGCTGCTTTAGACTATAGTGAAACAAAAATCAAGTTTCATCCTCAACCGCACTACATTTTACTTCACAAAATATTTTCTTTTTATTTTTTTTATTTTAAATTATTTTGATATCACAAATGTAATGTAATTAGATATATTGATTTACACATTTTACTTATTTAAATTAAATAATTGTTTTTATTCTCATTATGGTCAATGGCGGATCCAGGATGATTACATAATGGGAGCACCATATAATTAACAACAAAAATAATTTAAAAAAAATAATGTCATCACATTACACATAAGTCATATCTTACAACTGTTCCTTACGAGTTTTTATTTTCTGAAAACGATCAATCACTACATCATTCGTAACATTTTCTAGCAAATTATTTTCTACATAGCAAATCAAAAGATCATTTAGAAAAAGATCGGTTTCGCAAATAATTCTTCACGTACTTCATCGCCGAAAAACTTTTCTTGACAGTTGCAGTAGCAATGGGCAAAGTAAGAGTTAACTTCAAAAGTTTATACACCAATGGATGCGAAAGATGTTTCTTTGTTTCGATCATAACTCGAGCGAGATCACTGATATCCTTTAGGTTGGAAAATCTTCCATCATTTCGAACATTATCAATGTACACTCCAAGCTGATCTTCAAGAGCTATGCAATCCCTGGAGCTAAAGTCTTCCGGATAAAGCATTGAAATTTCACATTTTCTCTTTTGTTTCTACTTAACATGCTTACTATTGAAAATGTAAATGCTACTTAACCTCATATACGTCCATTCTCCATTCGTGCCCACAATGTTTCGGGACGTTTCGGGATTTACAGCCTCGGTTGTGCTGAAATGATACATTGTTATGAATGCTATTTGTTTTTCTGTAGTTATGCTGATGTAGAGCGTAGTACGAATTGGGAAGAAATTGAGATACTCTCTCTTGTATTCGAACGATCAATTTTTCAATTCAACAAAATCTGTTCTTTTTCTCGTTCAGTACAGC